TGCTACATCCACATTGTTTTAGTCCTGAGTGAGCACTCGATGTATACATCGTACCACGATTATTAAACCCACTCGGATTGTGCAGCTTGCATGTGTTTGTCACATCTTTGCAATGTCGAATTTCTGCGTGTTAACATTCAAGTGCAGATGTCTTTTCAATAGAATGTCTTCTTTCCTTCGGGTAAATACCCAGTAGTGGGATTGCTAGATCAAATGGTAGGTCTACATTTAGCTCTTTGAGGTATCTCCGTATTTTTTTCCACAGAGGTTGCACTAGTTTGCAGTCCCACCAGCAGTATAGGAGTATTCCTATCTCTCTGCATCCACGCCAGCATTTATTGTTTTGGGACATTTTGATAAAGATCATTCTCCCTGGAGATAAGTGATATCTCATTGTGGTTTCGATTTGCATTTCCCTGATGATTACAGATGCTAAGCATTTTTCCATTTGTTTGTTGGCCATTAGTGTGGTCTTCTTTTGAAAGGTTCATGTCCTTTGCCCACTTTTTGATAGGATTGTTTGATTTTTTTTTTTCTTGCTGATTTTCCGGTGTTGTGTATAGGTTCTAGTTATCAGCCCTTAATCGAATGTGTAACATGTAAATATTTTCTCCCCTTTTGTAGGTTGTCTGTTTGCTCCCATGATAGTTTCCTTGGCTGTGCAGAAGCTTTTTAACTTGATCAGGTCCCATTTATTTATTTTAATTGTTGCTGTGATTGCCTTTGGGGTCTTTTTCATAAATTCTTTGCCTAGGCCAATCTCTGTAAGAGTTTTTCCAACATTTTCTTCTAGAATTCCTACAGGTTCATGCCTTAGGTTTAAGTCTGTTATCCAGCGTGAATTGATTTTTGTGAGAGGTGAAAGGTGCAGATCCTGTTTCAGTCTTCTATATGTGACTATCCAATTTTCCCAGCACCATTTATTGAATAAGGATTCTTTTCCTCAGTGTATGTTTTTGTCTGCTTTGTCAAAGATCAGGTGGCTATATGAGGATGGATTTACATCTGGTTCTTTATTCTGATCCATAAGTCTATGACTCTGTTTTTGTGCCCGTACTATGCTGTTTTGGGTACTATGGCCTTGTAGTGTAGCTTGATGTCTGGTAAATTAATGCCTCCCAATTTGTTCTTTTTGCTTAAGGTTGCTTTGGCTCTATGGGGTTTTCTGTGGTTCCATACAAAGCATAGAATTATTTTTTTTAGATCTGTGAAAAATGATGTTGGTATTTTAATAGGGATTGCATTGATTCTGTAGATCACTTTGGATAGTATAGACATTTTAACAATGTTGATTCTGCCAACCCATGAGAATGGTATGGTTTTGACAACAGCTACATCTATTATAGCTACACCTGTACCTACATCATACCTATGGCTACATCTACACATATATCTATGTCCACATCTGCATCTACACCAACATGAATACATATACCTGCATCTATATCTATACCTATACCTACACCTGCATCTACAACTACACATACACCTATATCTCCATCTACACCTACACCTGCATCTACACCGACACCTGTATCTACACCTGCATCTACACTGACACCTGTATCTACACCAACACCTATACCTGCATCTACACTGACACCTACACTGACACCTACACTTGCACCTGCATCTACAGCTACACCTGCATCTACAACTACACATACACCTATACCTCCATCTACACCTATACCTCCATCTACACCTACACCTCCATCTACACCTACACCTGCATCTACACCTATACCTACACCCGCACCTGCATCTATACCTACACCTGCATCTGCAACTATACATACACCTAAATCTCCATCTACACCTACGCCTACATCTATACCTACACCTACACCTGCATCTATACCTACTACTACACCTCCATCTACACCTACTACTATACCTGCACCTACACCTACACCTGTATCTACACCTGCATCTACACCTACTACTATACCTGCACCTACACCTACACCTGTATCTACACCTGCATCTACACCTACACCTATACCTGTATCTACACCTACACCTACACCTGCAGCTACACCTGCACCTACACCTACACCTGCATCTACACCTACACCTACACATGCATCTACACCTACACCTGCACCTACACCTACACCTGCATCTGTAATGTGCACCTACACCTATTCCCACAGCTGCATCTAGCTGGTGCTCTCTCTCACACATGCTGAACACAGTGAACACACACCTGTATGTATATATGTCTTCAGGTGTCGCTGAGAGACTTGCTATATTTCTGGTCAAGGAATACTTTAGTTCGCTGGGATCGAACCTCCTTGGGACCACCATCGTGGCCACTAACGATGAGACCACAGTTCCTTCACTCCTCCCAGGATGCCCCCAGGGTCTCGGAGCTCTACAGAACAACAGATGGATGGACAGACGACTGTGTGCATCTGCCCACGTGGCCATAGGTGGCACTACGGTGTCCCTCCTTCCCACTAGGACGGGGCCCACGTGGCCTGGACAGCAAGCAGCGGGCGCCAGAGTTGAGCGGCTCCGGTGCACATGTCCCTCAGACTCCCAGAGCCCGACCCCTCATGTGTGAGACAAGGGCGTGTCCCACCCCTGCGCTGCTGCGGGAACCACGAGATTGACTGCAGGCACAGGGGGGTCCCCCACGCGCCACCAGACAGCCAGACTCCCTCCACACTCACAGATGGGCGCGGCAGGGAGAGGCCCGGGAGCCTCTGCCAGCCCCTGATTTGTCATGGTGCCCCTCAGGGTTGTGGGCAGTTACTAAGGACACCAGAATGAGCAGGGTCTGCAGCACCCAGTGGGTGGGCAGACTCTGGGTTCCTGTGAGTGCAAACACCAGGCAGGCCGCAGCCCGGTCCCTTCTCAGCCACAGCCTTGGGGGGGGGGGCTCCTTCAAAACCGGCCCACCTGCCCCCCGCCGGCCGCTCACGTCCCCATGACAGCCTCCTGGCACACAGCGCGTCCCCGTCACCCACAGCCTGCCAGCGGTACGGGTTCCCCTGTGAGTCAGCGTCCGCATGTGACAAGACCCCTGGGCTCACGTGCTCCCCCGCCTGGGAGAAGCCCCGACCTCGCTGAGCTGGGACCGGGCACGTCTCCGAGTCCGGCCGTGGAGGGGCCGAGGCAAGCGGGTCCCCTCCTGCCGGGCCGCACATGCACGCTGCGCCTTGCGGGCTGGTGACCGGTCTTTCTGTCCCCTAATATGGAAAGGGAGGTTGGAAACCCCCAAGGGACCAAGTAAAGTCAATTTACTCATAAAAAAGGCAATGTATTATGATAGGATTCAGATTTTCAATTGAATGCTGTAAAGGGAAGTTTTAAAAGTCACATATAATTTGATTTAATAGGGTGGCTTCCTCCGCTCAGCGGGAAAATGGGATGCAGACAGAAGTGTGATTTTCATTTAAATGTCTTCATATGAGAGATGACGTGGGCCATCAATCTTCCGGTGACAAGGGAGAGGGCAGGAATTATGGATGCTCAGTAGCACAGGATTATAAACAGGGAAATTGAAAGTGAGCCTTAATTGACAGGCCTGCCTGTGACCGTGGGAAAGCCGGTCGGCCTCCCACAGCGACAAGGGACATCAAAACAGCTGCGAGGAACATGGCACTGGCACCGCGGTGCAGCACAGAAGACAAGGTGGCAAAGTAACGGCGTCAGCCAGGAACGCTGCCCTCTCCACGGGCAGCCCGGCGGTGGCGGAAGTAGCCCCGGCTCTCTGGGGACGTCCCATGCAGCTTCCAGGGACCGAGAGAAGAGGCTGCGTTCTCAGGTGGCCGTGGACCACACCAGGTGGCGTGTGCTGGGCCGACTGTGCCAACCCCGGTCAAGGACGCAGGATGTGGACACTGCGCTGGCTGGTGGTGAGAGGTTCCCTCCTCAGTGCACCTGGCCAGGACTCCAGGGGCGGTCAGACACCGCAGAGCCTCAGGAGGCTGCAGTGCTGTGCTCTGAAATGTGGCACTTGCGCCAGTGTCCCTGAATGCTGCTACGGAAGCAAGGTGCTGATGTTTGTGAAGTCACCACGTGAGTCACAAACACCAGGTGAGCTGTTTCAGTGCAGGGCTGTCCTCTGGAATAATTTATCTCTTTCCTTTTAAGACCTACATATTTAGAAATGTGCATGTTCGTTAATAGCCAGACCTGCCTGCGATGGCCACACACACACAGGAGTCGCCGTAGTTCAGAGGCTCATTCCGTCTGTCTGTGCCCTGGGTCAGGATGGGAAATCGGAGGACAGTAGTGACAACAGCCGTGGGTGCCTTCGCGCCCCGAGGCCACCATCGTGCCATCTCGTTTCCTGTCCCAACACGTTTGCAAGTTTGCAGGTTGGGAAATGCCGTGGCCAGGCTGTCCACCAGGCTCATCAGAGAGTGGGGCTGCTGGCAGGTGAGACAGCGTGCGGTTAGGTGGAGCTACACCCGGCTCAGAGGCTGAGGGCAATGTCCTTGCCACAGGCAGTGCGTCTGTCTGAGCAGTCTCCAGCGGATCATCCTGCCGCATCCTGCCCTAAAGCCACGGGCCACTCACAGGCCCAGACACAGAAGACATGCTCCACTAGTTTCAGTAGTGGAAACTGGTAAAATTCAGCAGGGAAGAAGGTAGAGTGCAGCAGGAGTTTAAAAATCCAAGCTCAGGATCCCAGGACAGTAGACCAGCAGCAATTCATGTGAAAAATAAGTTTTAAACTGTAAGCTTTATAGATTGAAATATTATCAGAAATATTTGCAGCTCTTAGAAAGCACCCAGACTTTTCAACTGCATGGACAGCCAGGCAGGTGGAGGTGAGAAGATGGTGAGTTCTGGGCACACACGGGCAGCGGGGTCGGTGCCAGGGAGCACCGGGGACTGGGACCTGCCCTTTTGCCGTCCCGGCAGTGTGAGTTTGGAACAGAACGGGCAGGTGCTCCAGCCCTGAAGCCCCAGTGCAGAGACCACACCAGGCAGCATGAGGGCAGACGGTGCCTGGCCTTCTCAGAACCAAGGTGAGCCAGAGGACAGTGCAGGGACCCAGCTGCCAAGCTCAGAAGGGTTGGGGCCAGGGGAGGGCCGCCCCGCAGCAGCTCCACACAACTGGAGCAGAAGAGAGCTGGTGCCTGAACCAGAAGCCCCTCCTTGGCCCCTCGCGACAGTACAGGGAACACTTGAACGGGCTGAGATGGAGCTCCACAGCTGGAGCCTGGAAATGAGAACACCTGGTACAAGTCTCTTCCTGCTCTCCAGCACGGGAGCATGGGGCTGAGGACCACCTGACCACGTCTCTGGTGTCGCTCCAGGTGAGTGGCCTGGAGCTGAGGAACACCTGCTCTATGTCTCAGATGGAGCACTATGACTGGAGCCTGGAAAGGAAGACCACCTGGAGCACATCTCAGGTGCTCCACCTGGAGAGGAGCATGAGGAGGATGAATACCTGGTCCATGTCTCAAATGGAGCTCTAGGACAGGAGCCTGGGGCTGAGGAACACGGGATCAATGTCTCAGGGGAGCTGCAGGCGCAGAGACTGAGGCTGAGGAACACCTCGTGCGTGTCTCCCGGGGAGCTCTAGGACAGGAGCCTGGGATTGAGGAACGCCTGGTCCATTTCTCAGGTGGAGTTCGAGGACAGGAGCCTGGGGATCAGAAACACCTGCTTTACGCCTCCAGCGCAGCTCTGTGACTGGACCTTGGGGCTGAGGAACAAAGGCTCTGTGTCTCAGGTGGAGCTCTAGGAGAGGGGCCTAGGGATGAGGCACACCTGGTGCCCGTCTCAGGTGGAGCTCTAGGACTTGACCCTGGGGCTGAGGACCAATGTCTCTATGACTGAGGTGGAGCTCTAGGACAGGAGCCCCCTGTGCATGTCTCAGCTGGAGCTCTATGGTGGAGTCTGGACATGCAGAACACCTGGTGCATATCTCAGGTGCTTCTCCAGGAAGTAGCAGGGGCTGATTTACACCTGTTCCACATCTCAGGTGGAGCTCTAGGAACAGAACCTGGTGTTGAGGAACACCTGGTCCTCTTCTCTGGTGGAATTCTAGGACAGGAGCCTGGGGCTGAGGAACACCTGGTCAATGTCTCAGGTGGAGCTGTATGAGAAGAGACTGGGGCTGAGGCACACCTGGTGCATGTCTCAGCTGGAGCTGTAGTTCGGGGGCCTGAGGTTGAGGAACACCTGGTCCATGTCTCCAGTGGAGCTCTAGTACAGGAGCCTGGGTCTCAGGAACACCTCGTCCATTTCTCAGGTGGAGTTTAAGAACAGGAGCCTGGGGCTGAGGAACACCTGGTGCAGGTCTCGAGTGGAGCCTGGGACTGAGGAGCAAAGTCTCTGTGTCTCTGGTGAGGCTCGAGGACAGGAGCCTGGGGCTGATGAACACCTGGTGCAGGTCTCAGGTGGAGCTCCAGGAGAGGAGCCCGGGTCTGTTGAACATGTGGCACACGTCTAAGATGCAGCTCTAGGACAAGAGCATCTTCTGGGTTGGTGCAGCTGCTCCATGGACACACCTGGAACAGCTGGGACCCGTCCCTGGGTCCTATGGTGCTGGCGTCTGTGGATAAGATAGGACTCCAGGAAGTGTGGTTGCCTTCTAGGAATTCACCCTCTCCCAGAGGATGCCAGGCATCTTCCCGATGGTCATCCATGGAAAGTGGACTGAGATGCAACATGTCCTCCTTCATGGTCATCTGTGGACAGCGGACAGAGACACAAAGCATCCTCCCACGTCATCGGTGGACAGAGCTCCGTCCCATGGGACACGCGGAGCGGGGGCGGGCAGGCCCTTGGCACCACGGAGATGCTCACTTCCACAAAGAGCTGCCTCCACGAGGCGGAAGTGTTGAGAAACAGGAGTTTGGGGCCCGGAGCAGGGATGTCCCTCCCAGGCCCACAGACACTGAGTTCACACTCCAGGGTCCACAGGAGAAAATGGGATCCTTGTCTTCAACATGCTTGCAACTACTTGAAAGCTCGTCTACGTTTTCCAATCCATCCTTGCTAGATGTAGCTGCATATCCACGCAGGCTTTCCCGGCGGCGGATCATTTAAATCCTTCACTTAAACACTGTGCTTCGTTCACATTCAAATTCAGTTATTCAAAATAAATTTACTTCTAAATAAATAACACGACGTTTGCGCTACAAATCACAGTGATTACGATTAGGGAAAATGTCAGGCGCTGCCTTACAAATAAACCAGGCATTTTCCCAGCAAGCGATCCGATGATGAATTGGCCGCTGAAGTTTGACTCACTTTTATCCGGAATTCCGTCTGCAGCACTCAGCGCGTGTGCGAAGGTTCACGCTTCCCGACAGGCCCCTTGGACTTGCTGCGACAGCGCCGGCCGGCCCTGGGAAACAAGTCGCAGCGTTGAGTTCCACGTTGCTCTCTCTAATCGCTGCCCGGCTCGCTCCTTGTCCCAGGAACAGCAGAGGAAGCCTGAGAGATCCACAGCGCTCAGCGTCTGTAGCCTGTAGCATGCGCTGTTTTCTTCCTTCCATTTCCCGGGTGTGTTTAAAAGCCTCGGGTCCCAGGTGATGCCGGGGCTGCTTACCTGACAAGGAGAACGGTGGAGAAGAAGGTAAACCGTAATTATAAGTTGAAGTGATTAAGAAAGTCAATCAGCAGGCAAAAATGTTCTTCCTGAAGGTATTTAAAAGGGTATCTCTAGTATCTACTGCTCTTTAAATAGTATAGGAAAGCTTGAAGCACAGCGAGCTGAATGTTTTCCAACCATGGTTAAAGAGAGCGACAGAGAGAGACCGATTCCCTAAATGAGACGTTCTCTGCAAGCGCGGTCACACCCCGGCCGGCAGCACCCGGAAACCTGCCGGGAAGGCACATCCTCAGCCCCTCCCCAGGACCTGCGGAGTCTAACCCCCCGGGGGGGGCCCCCAGCGGACCCCAGTGCTCTGCAGGCCCCGTGGGAGCCCGTCCTCCCACCCCCTGGGGTCCTCCGGTGGGAGGCAGCGGGAGCCCGCCCCGCCCGGCGGCTTGAGGGAGGACGGCTGCCCCAGGTCCCCCTCCCGAGTGGTCTCCAGGGTGCCGGGAGGGCTGGGGGGCCAGTGCTGTCCACACCGGCAGAAAGCCGCCTCCAGGCAGGAGCCCCCAGGAACAGGGGCTCGTGCCGCGCCCACAACGCAGAAGGGGGCAGCTACGGCTGAAGGAGGAGCAGGCAAACACGGGCACCCTCTCAAAGCGCTGTCCCTCAACACCTGTGGGACTCACCTGGAGGGACGTCATGCATATGTCCAAAATTCAGATATAGGCCGAATTCCAGAGGCCGGGTGCCGCGGCCCCCTCCGCTGGGAGCTGCGACTGGCCAGGGAAAGGCCAGCAACGGCCAGGCGCCACCACCCTGGGACAAGGGCAGGCCAGGAGCAAGCACAATCTATTCAAGCATCCTCTCCCTCCCAATTAGTGCAGAAATGCAACCCGTTTATGGTCAATAAATGAATAAGTACGTAACACAACATAAACGTCAATAAGACAGTAATCATAAAAAAATGTAAAGGAGTTAAGAACTGCAAGCACCATAAAAGCTGCTTTTATTTCGAATCTGACGGGTTGGCCCTGAAGGGTGGACGTGTGGTAACGCCAGGGTGCTCTGGGGCGTGCCGTGCAGGTGGCCTTCCAGGGGGACACGGAACCGGTTTAAAGTCACGACGGCGCCATCGTGGCCCTGCGGGCCCAGAGCAGGACGGCCCAAAACTGCAACGCCCCGCACCCGAGTCCCGCCTGGAGCCCCTCCTCGAGGGGACGGCCTCCCCCACTCCCATGCCGTGGGGGCTCCTCGGTCCCTGCTCGGCCAACTGGGGGTGGCGCAGAGCGTGAGGTCCCCGACCGTCTACGGCACGTCCCTAGTCGAAGCTCTTTCCGGACAATTTGCCGGTTTAGGCGAAAGCGAATGAGAGTGTGAAATTCTGGGAAAATGCATGTGAAGATCTGCACGCACTCAGAATGGGGGAGATACCGTTTTTAAGCACGCCACTCAATGCAGAAACTCTCCGAAAACCAATTCGGTGGATTTGACTGAAAACGGAAAGCTGCAGCCCGGGGGCAAACACAGCACGAAAAGTGGACGGCCGGTGGCAGGACCGTGCAGGGCTCTTCCCTCACAAACCCAGGGAAGGCACTGGCACCCCGCTGCTGTGTCTCCCGAACACCGCGGGAAGATGTCAGCAACAAGCCCAGCAAGGGCACAAAAACATCAGTGCACAGAAAACGCTGGAAACCATACAAATGGGCATGCAGATTGGCAAGGTGCCCGTTTACTCTGCACACGACTCCCAGAGCAGGACCCGGCTGCGAGCAGAGCACGGCGAGCCCCACCCTCCCGCGGCTGCCGAGCGGACGGTCACCTCGGCCCGCCGCCCACGCCTGGGCGCAGTCCCGTGAACAGGTCAAAGCCAACTCCGGAATGTTCGTGTCAGGACACACAAAGGCACAAGGAGGAGGCACTAAGTGCCACCTTAGGACACAGTTGGAGGCAGACGGGGCCCAAGCCCACTTGGCGACCTCGAAAAGTGATGCTCTCGGGTGTTATAGCAGCCAAGTTCAAACTATTCTTTCTAATGGAAAAAGTTTTCAAAGCGTTGTAAAAAGTGCTACTCTTTGGTATCACGCATCTGAAAAAATATAGTATATGTAAGTATTAACTTATGATTGTATCTAGGTGGTAAGATGTATACACACAAATGATGTTTTTTATTTTCACTTTTTATGTGATTTCTGTTTGACAACATGATGACATTTTTATAGTTACCCCATTACACTTATACTAAAAAAAAAGGTAATAATAGAAAAAAAAAAAAACTTCTCAAGGTGCTATTTAAATTCTTTGTAGAGTGGCCGTGTCTCAGAGAACATTTCCTCGATACCAGGAAACACCAGGAAAAGGCATGACTTGCTGGAAATCACAACATTCTCCCCAAGCCCCGCAGATTTTTCGTGGTAGAAACATCACAGAAAGCAATGACCCTGCTCCATCCGCCAGGCAGAGATGCTCTGTGGATAAAAAGAGGTGAGGAACACCTTGCTATATGGAAACGTTGATGCTGATATTCAAGTATAAATGTTATTATTACTATGCAACTCTGGAAACTCCATAGGCCTGAGTGCCAAGACAATGCATTTTTAAGTGTTTTGTCCATCTTTAGTATGTGGATTCTTACAGTCTACAGAAGCGATTCTAGAAGAACTTCCCCGGTCCTGGCCGTTGTAGGCGATTTCTGGACCCGCCCCCTTGGAGGGGGGCCGTGTGTCTGGGAGGGTCCCGTGTCTCAGGGGGCCCCCTAAATCTTCCCCGCGTCAGAGCGCCGGGGCTGCACGAGAGATAAATAACCCAGACGTCCAGGTCCGTGCAATCCCATAATTTCTCTTTCTCTGCCCCTGGGGCCGAAGGCTCCTCTGCAAACAGTAGCAAAGAACCCCACACAGCCGTCCACAGAGCCCCCGACAGAGCCAGACCCCGGGACCGCAGCTGGGACGGATCATTCCAGGCCCCGTCCCGCCCGGGCTCGGCCTGATTTGTGAGCTCTGGGGCTCCGGGGAAACCAGGCACGATGGCCGGCAGGCTCCGCTGAAATGAAAACATCATTTTTCCTTCCGTCCATCTCAGGGAAGTCTGAAACGGCCTCCGATAATTAATCCGCCGAGGGAAATCGATACGACAACTGGTTGAAGACGAAACCACCCATGGCAAGATAAACTTCCAGCGATGCCTCGGCAGTTTCTGCGGGCACACGGTCTCGGCTGCAGATGTGGGATCTGGGATGAATGTTGCTTTCTCTCCAAAAATAACCCCACCCGGAGAGTCAACGGCCCGGAACCGCTTCATGCCGTCGGACACTTGCGCTATCAATGCAGTCTTTGTGCTTCGAATGTTGAGCGGTTGGTTTTCTTCTCCCCGTTAGGAGAGCAAATGGGTCTACAATTTGATAGTTGGAAATAGACCGAAAGAAAGTTTCACGTGCGAGTGATTTACAGCTGACAGAGAAAATGCAGCGTTGTCCTAAGGGCCGTCTATAAAGCCGCGGGAGGGGGGGTCTCAGGGATTTGCTTGTCTCCGGTTGGTTTAGGTCTCCATTTTTGTTTTTAGCTTTTTTGGTTTTCAGTTTTAATTTTTTTATTTAACTTTTTTAAATTTATGTTTATTTCAGGATATTGTGAGGGCACAAGCATTCTGGGTACATTTTATGACCTTGCCTCACCCATACGAGGATTAGAGGCATGCCCTTTTTTTTTTTTCTGTTTTATTTTTTTAGAAAGCCAAGCTGAGCCGGCAGCGTCAGCTGGCGATGATTATAGTTCAGCCAGCGGCTCATCACCACGGGCAGTGGCTGCGCCGGGCAAAGACGTGCAGGTGCAGCCCGGGCCGCTCGGTCGTGGGAGGACGCCTCATGCACTCAGGAGCAACGAACTCTGGACCAGGGTAAGCGAATCCAAGACGGCGGGTCCATCGCTGCGTTTCTAGGAGAGCAGAGCTGTCCTGGCAAACGGTCCCCACGCGGCAGCCCTTCCGGTCACCTGTTGTCCACCTGGACAGAGCTTAGTCGTGGGACATGACGTGCCGTGGGCACCAGGTGGGAGGAACGGAGACACAGCACGCCGGGTCTGTGCCCTGCATCTGGCACGTTCCCGTGTTCTCTTTACCGGTGCCCACGGGTGCAGCAGGCTGCCGGGCTCTGAATCTGGCTTTGCCACTGGGTGGCCGTGCAGCCCTGGGCAAGCTGCTTGCCCTCTCTGCGTTTCAGTTCCTCTTCCACGCTGCTTCTCCCACGGACGTGTCACGAGGATTAATGACGTGGTGTGCACAGCAGGGCTGAGAACAGCGCTCACTCGCGTGCTCAGGAAGACAGGGAAATGTTTTTATTTCTATTCCTAACCCAGAAAGACTTGCTCGAATGTGCACCGGAGGATGAGGCAGAAGGAAACTCGACTGTGTCACGTAGACTCTGAACTTGCTGCCTTTGCCGGTGTTCCCAGAAGTGGGAGGAAGATGAATGGAGGCTCCGGCCCCGGCTCGCCTGGGAAGTCTCCTGTGAGGCAGGGAGACTCCGAGCAGCAGCAGGCTGCTGTTCCACCCTCCGGTCCCAACCCTTCCGTGTGCAGGGGCAGCACGACGTTTGCTGCCTGTGTGAATCGAGTTTCCCTTTGCAAAGCGAACGCGTTCCTTAAATTAAAACCTGGGGGGCAAAGAGAACGTAGAGGGAGCACGTTCCAAGTGGCAATCGGAGAGAAAGAAGAAACACGCCCGGTATCCGGACAGACACCGCCGGCCCCGTGGCCATGCCCCGGGCGTGGTCCTGAGCAGGCGGCGTCACGGCCCCCGCCCCTGACGAGTGGAGGGAGGATCGCCACCTTCTGAGCCACAAATCACACGCGGTCCTGGACCGACAGTCCATTCTGTTGACCTTAAAAGGCAGCAGCAGACAACGAACGTTCGCCTGTGCTGGGGAGAAGGGACGTCACCGTACTCAGGGCGGACACTCTCCCTCACCGCGTTCCCTTTCGCCCGCAGCAACCAAGCACATTTGCATAAGTGACATTCCCCCTGCGGTCCCCCGCGCTGGCTTCCTCCGTGGAGGGCTCCGTGATGCCGATTTTAACCCGCGCTCCGAACCTCTCCCTCCAAAAAGCGCGGTTCCGGCGTCTCGCGCCTGCATTTTGCAATGCTGGAAAGCAGGTGACGCAGCTGTCCTCGGCCGTCCCAGGCTGCGTGTCACTCGGCAGTGGCACCTGCGCGGGGCCGTGGAGGCCCACGCCCGGGTGTCCACGCGAAGGGCTCGGCTCGTCGCTGACGGACGTTCACAAAGTCTGTCTGCGATTGCTCTCCTGCGCCGTCCTCCTTTAGGTGCACGGAAGTTTCCCTGGAGCCCAGAACAGACCGGCAGATTCCGGAGCCCCCCTCGGGGAGACGGGAAAGCTGTCTCTTGGCAGAGGTTGGTTTTCCCATCGATCGAGCGTTCCTGCTGCCCGCAGCCGCGGTGCCCGGCTGTTTATTTCTGAGTTGGCAGCAGCCGGGCCTCAGAAGTGGATCCCAGGGTTAGGGTTAGGGTTAGGGTTATCGCGACAGGTGCCCAGCGCCAGGCCGAGTGTCCCCAGGCACGGCCGCCCCACGCCCCTCCCGGTGCAGCCCCCGCCTCTTCCCCAACCTTGGTGTCCTGGGGGGGCAGGGGAGCAAGGTCTGGGGGAAGCCGGTGCTGGGCTCGGACGGGCGTCCAGCCCTCCCTTCCAGGGTCGCTATGGCCTCCTTGGGCGGGGTTCCCGGAGATGCCTCCAGCGCAGGAGGGAGGCCGAGGAGGGCAGGCATGGAGGGAGTAAGGCCGGGATTGGGGCACAGGGCGCAGCTAGACCCCCGTTACACACAGGCAGTGTCCTCAGGGCCCCCAAGGGGAGCAAAGCGGGAGCAAAGCCCGGGCAAACCGCCCAGACTGGAGTGGCCACAGCAGGAGACCCAGGGTGTTGAGAGGGGCTGGTGGCCCTGTCCTCAGCTGCCACCTGCCTCCCGAGCTGCCCCCGGTCCTGCCAGAGAGGAGCCAGCTCCCCACAGGCGCCCCGTCCTTTGTGCCTGAGCCAGACGCTGACCAGGAGCCCGGGCCAGGGGACCGGCGTCGAGAACGGTGGACTCCGGGCTTGATGGATGTGGCCGCTCGGAAGCTGTGGCAATTACCGCCGTGCGCAGGCTGTTATTCTTCTGCTACAAGTGGTCGTCATGTCTGAGTGGCCCGATTTGTGAGGCTTTGGCCTGCCTTGTCCACTTAAAAGATCATTAATCACCGGCCCAGTTTATAAATCGAGGGGCCAGCTCACCGCGCGCAGTGATGAGGTCGGAGCGCCCGGGAGTACTTAGCCAATTCCCAGCCCCGGCCTCGCCGCTTCCTCCCGCCCCGGCGGCGGCCCATCCATCATCCCGGCCTGCCGAGGCGGAGTGATGCTGTCAGAGGGTGCCCGGAGCCAACAATGTGATCCGCTAAGACGCGGGCCCGGAGCTCTTTAAAATTTCCAGCCAGTTCCTTAGCCCTTTGTGTTAACAAAACCTATTCATTTCGGGATTTGGCAGTTCAAATTATTTCAGACAAGACCCCGAGACAAATGGTTATATGATAGAGTCGCACGCGCAAGTGGCGGCCGCGGGAAAAATGGACGCTGTTCGCTGGCGATGGGAAGACGGAGCGGCGGTGGAGGCCGGCGCGGTGATGCAGGGGGGGCCTGGCACCCCACCTGCCGCGTCCCGGCACCCACCTGCCTACCGCGTCCCGGCACCCACCTGCCTACCGCGTCCCAGCACCCCACCTGCCTGCCATGTCCCGGCACCCACCTGCCTACCGCATCCCAGCACCCCACCTGCCTACCGCGTCCCGGCACCCCACCTGCCTACCGCGTCCTGGCACCCACCTGCCTACTGCGTCCCCGGGCAGCTCTGAGGACCGAGAGGCTCCACCAGCTGCAAAAGAAAGTTCCCCCGGACCCTGCGTGTCTGAGCTTGCGGAGGGCTCGGGCGTGGTTTGTAGAGCAGTTACCTGGGACGAGCCGTGGAAAGACCACAGCAAGGAGCTGCCTCCTCCCGGTCTGTGTCACCTGCTAAGTGGCTTTTAACCATCCAAACAGGGCTCTGTCTGGCTTTTTACCTTTCCCTGCAAAGCAAACACACACGCGGCCCGTCGCGCAGGAGAAAGCGGGAGGGAGGAAGGGGGTGGGGCACGGGCAGCCAGGCCTCCCCACGACCCAGAGTGACCTTGAGGCTGGGAGACCCTGGGCGTGCCGGTGGGGAGCACAACTGTCCACCTGGGCCGTGGGCGAGAGGGGGAGGGGAGGCGGCAGGTCTTCCGTAGGCGCCCTGGATTTGGAGAGTCATGAGAGCACCTTGTGAGGACAGGGGCGATGGGAACCAGCGCGGGGAGCGGCCCCCGGATACCGGTTCCGGTCCTTGTCCTCGTCCTCCTCAATCCCGCGTAAGAGTCCCGGAGAGCACTGGGCGGTGCACGGGGCCGCCCAGGACACCGTCCCTTCCGAGCGCACCTGCCGTCTTGTGACACACACTGGCGTGGCCCGAAGGTGCAGGGAAAAGCCACAGACCGTCTGCAAAGAGAAGCGTGTGTCAGAACGCGCTCGTCTCCGGAACGCTCTCTGTCCTGGGAATCGCCCACGCCGGGTCCGCAGGTCACCCAAGGTCACCGGAGCTGCCCCCACACACGGCGCCTCCCTCTTCTCTCCTCTTGAGCTAAAAGGAGATACAGTTAGGTTTTCTTACTTACTAGTTTTGTTGCTTTATCTTCCTGGAGAAAACAGGCACGAAAACATCATTTAGTCATCCGTGATCCAGGAATATTCGGGAGCCGGTCTCTCCTGACGGGCCGGGTGCCGGAGTCTTCTGCCCTAAGACACACGGTCCCGGGTGTGGCCTGTGAGCTTCGTGTCCCCAGGCCGTCCCGTTGTCACCTCGAGCACGTGGCCCAGGGCGGGAGTCGAGGGAAGAAGCACCTTCTCTCTGTCTGCACAGATCTGCCGAGGGCTGTGCTCCGCCCACGGAGAATGAAACGTGAGAGCCAACGCGACCACAGGGGCTCAGACTCCACCCCCAGACATTTCGTTACATGAACAAAATGGGACCGATTCTTCGCTAATGACTCACGCTAGCGGCACGGGTGACGCTTCCGTGTCTCCATGTCCTTTGAGTTCCCACATGCGTGGACGCATCGGGCCCCGTCCCCAGGGCAGCCCAGGCTGGGGCGGGAACTGGTGCGGGGGGAGGCAGGAGGCCCCTAAGGACCACTCTGCACCGCCTCCGCCCCGGGCAGGCCAGAACTCGGCCCTCGGGAGGGAAAGGGGGAATTAACTTAATCATTTGATGACTCGCCGCTCATTAAATAAAGGCCGTTAGGCACACTCTGAGCACAGGAAGTTCAGAGCACTGTGCTGCCGGCCAGGGAGCCCGTCTCCACCGACACATGGCTGCCTGCTGGCGACGGTGAGGACAGGTGGGGCCGATGCGCCGGGTGCCGCAGGAGGCTGGCGTCCCTCGGCCCGGAACTCTATGGGGGACGGGGACCAGCCTCAACGAGCCTCCAGGCTCTGCTGCCCACTCAGGTCTGCACCCCGGCCGGTCTCCAACCAGGCTCTTCCGGCTCCGCATGTCAACGGGTTCTCACACACTCTAAACTTACACACTCGCACACACATACACAGTCCTGCACATGTGCACACTCGGGCACACATACACAGTCGCACACACTACACAGTCCTGTACACATACACACTCATGCACACTTACACACTCCTACACACACAGTCCTGCACACTTACACACTCCTAAACACACTCATGCACACTTACACACTCCTGCACACATACACACTCCTACACACACTCCTGCACACATACACACTCCTACACACACTCATGCACACTTACACACTCCTGCACACATACACACTCCTACACACACTCATGCACGCTTACACACTCCTGCATACACACACTCATACACTCCTGTACACGTACACACTCATGCACATTTACACACTCCTACACACACTCATGCACACACACTCATGCACATATATTCTCATGCACACACACGCCTGCACACACACACTCCTGCACACTTACACACTCCTACACACACTCATGCACACTTACACACTCCTGCACACACACACTCCTGCACACATACACACTCCTGCATACACACTCATGCACACAAACACACTCCTGCACATACACTCCTGCATACACACACACTCCTGCACACACACGCACTCCTGCACACACACTCCTGCACACACACTCCTGCACACACACACTCATGCATGCACACGCTCATGCACATACACACTCCTGCACACACACTCCTGGACACACACTCCTGCACACACACACACTCCTGCACACACACACTCATGCACACACACTCATGCACGCACACTCATGCATGCACACACACTCATGCACACACACTCACACACATGTTGAAGCAAAATAGCTGCATTACAGCAGCTGTCTCCTCTCCACACCGACCACCTCTGAAGTATGCATCTAAAACAGGTTCTCTTACAATTTCATTTTTACTGGCATTTAATGTCTTTATGGTATTATATTATTATCTTGTATACTGTTGTGAAAAAAATTATAGACCAAAGAGAAGCAATTATACACAGAATATAAATTACGAACTTACAAAATAAGCTTTATGGACACGTTTAATTATAGGGACAGAGAGTGAGTCACAGCATCTTGTTGCACTGAAAGTGGAAGATGGAAAGAGGCACTCAGTCTTTATGGAAAGTGGTGAGCGCCTGATCAAGCCCATTAATTTGTTAATTAATCAGGGAAAAGTCTTTACTTGTGGCGATTTGGGGAAAGAGTCATGCTGGAGTGGTCTGTCCCACTGGGCCAGGGTAGCATCAGCTGTCCCTGCTTGCTGAGAGCCGCTGCTCGGGCCTCACCCTCTCCCGGGGCTGTGGGTTCCTCATCCGTCCCGTGCTCCACCTGCGCCGTTGGTCCCTGGCCTGGCTCTCGATCGCCCACCTGACGGCACTCTCTGGCTCTGGGCTGGTGTCAGGTGTTTCTCCTTCGATGTCTCGTACGTCTCGTGCTTTACAAACAATGAGGTTTAAACTCATCTTGCAGCCTGTGGCTTTGTGGCTAAAAGTGGGAGCCGGAAGGCAAAGTAAATTCAGCTCAGTGAATGTGTGGATGGTGCCTGAGCCACTTTTAAAGAAACGTCTGGAACTTTTGAAAGCCAGCGATTAAAGGTGACACGAACACTAAAACCAGAGAGAACGGAGGGAACTACATCTGTCACGTGCACACACCAACGTGAATGGGTGGGAGTGGGTGCTGGTGGAGTGGATGGGATGAGGTTGATTGGATGGGTGGTAGCGTGAATGGATGGGTGTTGATGGGGGGTATATAGGGTGGATGGTGGCGGGTGGTGATGGTTGATGGATGCGGGGTGGGGGGTGGATGTGGATGGATGGGTGGTGGGTGGGTGATGGTTGGAGTGATGGGTGGGGTAGATGTTAGATGATTGTAGTAGTGAGTATGATGTGTGGTTGAGTGGGTGCGTGGGTAGATGGGTGGATGGATGGATGGGTGGGTGAATGGACGGGTGGTTGAGTAGGTGATTGGGTGGACAGGTGGGTAGATGGATGGGTAGGTAGTTGAATGGATGGGTTATTGGGTGGGTGGGTGGGTAGATGGGTGGATGGATAGATAGGTGGATAGATGGATGGGTGGTTGAGTGGGTGATTGAGTAGGTGGTTGGATGGATGGGTGGGTAGGTGAATGGATGAGTGGTTGAGTGGGTGGGTGGGTGGAAAGATGGATGGATGGATGGAGGAATGGTTGGGTGAGTAGCTGAGCAGATGGACTGATGAATGGACAGACGGATGGATGGGTGGGTGATGGATGGGTGGGTAGATGGATGGGTGGGTAGTTGAATGGATGGGTTGTTGAGTGAGTGGGTGGGTGGATGGGTAGATGGATGGATGGGTGGTTGAGTGGGTGGTTGGGTGGATGGGTGGGTAGGTGAATGGATGGGTGGTTGAGTGGTTGGGTGGGTGGAAGGATGGATGGATGGAGGAATGGTTGGGTGGGTAGCTGAGCAGATGGACTGATGAATGGACAGACAGATGGATGGATGGATGGGTGAGTGGATGGATGAGCAGGGGTACCCATCACATGTACGTGCACTTTCCTATATACACGGAGAATATCTATGCTCTGGAAACTGCTAACCGCGGCCCTACTGGGGTGAGAAGGCTGGAGAGATGTGATCAATTTGACTCCAGTTTGACGTCTGCTGACAGCTGAGCCGCGCCCTCTCTCCTCTGCCCCACGTCCATCGGGCTGGTTAGGAAGCCTGGGAGCCCTCTGGAATGCAGTGGGCGATCCGAGCACACGGCCCCTGCCCACAGGTGAGAACCTCCACCCCAGCCCCCAAGCACCATAAAGGAAACACCTGTTGTCTTCCGCAGCTCTCTCAAGCCGTTTTCAGAACAGCATGGGATTCCGCTGTCCTCCCCAGAGGCCTCTTGACCTGAGAGGTCGCCTGTGCATACCTCTTGTCGTGCAGCAGAGCCAACCTGACATCACCCCATTGCTGGGCGAGGGTCCATCCTGTCCCTCTAGGCTGGCCCCAACTGGGTAGGGGGCAATTACTCTTCTTGTTGCATCTTTTTGAACTCTTGTTACAAATAATTTCGGATTTGTTTACAGTAAATAGATACTGCCTTTATAATTGAGATAAACAGTAACAAATTCGTTTCTGTTAGCAGTGACTGCAGCAGTTAGTTGGTCAGCAGTTCTGTCCTCAGAATGCTCTCCACCTTGGTGCTCAAAGTGCTCCCCACCTGTGTAGTGCCGCGTGTCCAACAGGGCCACCAAGGGACGCCTGTCCCCAGACATCCCCTGCCGCCTGCTTCCTTCCAGTGAAGCTGTCCCGGCTCTCAGTCGGGCGGCCGAGTTTCCCCAAGTGTGGGATGAATCTGATCAACTTCTCAGCTCCAGGCACTTGGTCATGTAACAAGTGTGGGAAATGATTTCTAAATGCAGCAAAAATTATTAAAGCTCAATTATTCATGGTGGCACTGA